TACTATGTGTTTGAGTGCAATCTAGTTGTGAGATCTTGCAAGAACCAGTAATAACATGATAATGTTTCAAGACTTTGCTTGGAGTGAACTTTTGCCAACCATATACCAGCACCAAGAAATTTACATGTTCTTGAATCTTGACTTCCTATGAATTGTGTCTTTGAAAAGTGAGCACGGCGATATTCACTGTAAAGATCATCTCTGTAAACAGTAGAGATGTGAAACATATTTATGCCATTGATTTTATGATCAAGCCTTTAGCACATGGTGCAATAACAGTTGTTAATCTTTAGCTAGGTTCAACAATAAATTCTACGTGAAAGAGATTAAGGCTCTTGCCCCCAACATTTCTAAAAAAATTGTGATATATGGTATGAAGATTACAAGCTGATTTATGTTGCTTCTTCTTGCTTGATTCTTCACTTTATGCATTAGTTTTGGCATCTTCAATTGGTGAGATGCAATTCCATCCTTGAGGGGAATTATGCTATTGAGGTTTGGAGTCCTTTCAATTGAAAACATAGTAAAAATAGCATTTACACTTTTTGTGGGTTGGAGGTGACATTCAGTCAAAGATGTTTGAATTCTTTTCCGCTCCTGTATGAACTAGATGTTAACATATTCTAATCTTTAGGTTGGCATTGAAGGTTTTGGTTTGAATAAAGGATACAGCTGCTTAACCTGTACGTTATTCCTGTAGGGATGGAAATGGCTCAACTTATATGTGGAGGTTGCAGGACTTTGCTAATGTATACTCGTGGAGCAACCAGTGTCAGATGCTCTTGCTGTCACACTGTGAACCTAGCCCCAGGTATAATCGATCACTTGATTAGATGCCAGCTTTATTCAAGATTGTACTAATGAATTCATAGTAGGATGATTTCATTTCTTCCTTAAAGTTATCGACAGTTCATTCCTGAACATTCAAGTCGTTTACCAGCAAAACTATGAACTTGTCATAGATGTAATTGGACTAATGGCTCCCATTTGAAAGATATGACCTCATAGAAGAGCTGTGTGTCCTACTCATTTGTGATTGCTCCCATATGCATTTCTGTTATGAGCTTAGGTCCAGTACTTTAGTGTCCAGGCAAGTTCTGTTATGAGCTTAGGCCAGTCTGCCTGAAATGCCACATCGGCTATGCATGTACATTAATAGGCGATAATGCTACATCTTGGTTCTCTTGTACTGTATCCTGTTCCGGAACTCATGAAAGTGCTTAAGATTTGTTCTTTTCAAGCTTTATGAGACATGTAAAAAGACATTGAATTCTGAGTCTTCACTGGGTTATGAAATCAGAAAACTTATTAGCAAACAGTTCCTTCTAGAATTCTGCTAGTTTTTTGTTTGTTTCATATTTTGCGTTGGAGAATCCTTCCTTGAGATCCTGATTGTGGAAACGTCTTGATATGTAAATAAAACCACTTTCAAGTGACACCTATATTCAAACAATCTTACTATTATCGAAAAACTCTCCCTACCAACCATTCTACATTTAGCAAATGTCACATCACAAGATTTGTGTTTCCAGCAATGTGTTTGAGGATCTTATAATAATTTGCTTGATGTGTTCCTCCTTTCAAATGTTAATTTTATCATATAGTAGTCTCCTGATTCTGTTTCTTGAATTTTTGTGGTTGTACGAGGTAGTATCTAGTCAGGTTGCTCACATAAACTGTGGCAACTGCCGGACGACGCTTATGTATCCCTATGGAGCTCCATCTGTGAAGTGTGCAGTCTGTCAATACGTCACAAATGTCAGCGTAAGTCCCCCTCCCTCCTATTTGTGTAATCTTTCCATGGGCTTTCATGATTCCGAAACAGCTGGGATTGCCTGTTTCTCGAATTTTTGTCATCTTTTCTTCTGTTCGAAATAGATATAGTCCGTTGTGAGGAGTAGTGTAAGCATCAGCGCTTTTGCGTAGTAGTTTTCAAATCAACAATCTGGTTATAAAGGGGAACTAACATTTAGTTGAAAGTATATAAATACTTCACTTAGGGCTTCCCTTAAGCTACCTATAGTTGGTTTAAAAGTAATATGTTTTCCTGGGAATACAATTTAGTTAGGGAGAGAGGTTTATTGTAGACTGCAGAAACCAAATGTTGATGAAAAAGAATGGTGTGATTGCAGCAGACATGCATTAATCAGACCACTGTTAATTAATGTATCTCAATATAATTATCTTGTTCTGGGAGGGGATGGTCTGCACCTGGTGGTCTCATTATATTATTTTGCTTTTGCAATGCAGGTGACAAATGTGAGGGTTCAACCGCCAGTGAACAGACCAAACGGTACAGGTGCTACGGTGCCATCTACTACCTCAGTAAGTTGTCACTTTGCCGAGTGATCTTATTCGGAGGAGCCTTCGGTATCTTCCCTGTTTTACTAATTCCGTCTGTTGTTGCTTCATTTCATCCAATGATGCAGGCAATGCCGCACTCACAGACTCAGACAGTAGTTGTCGAAAATCCAATGTCTGTCGATGAAAGTGGGAAATTGGTAAGAATCATCCTGGTCATCCCAGCCTTTCGTTTTCCTGGAAAGTAAATGAAGAAAAAGAAACCCCAAAGAGCTTTCTTTTTCATCCTCTCTTTAGAGGTGGCAACACTAAACCCAACCCAACCCATCCACTTAAAACTCATAACACAGACAAACCCATTTGACCCAAAATTCATTGGGTTCATGGGCGTTGAGCAGATGGTTACAGTAAAAATGTAAAATTACCACCTCGTATCTTACACTTCAGTACCCAAACTTTAATAATAAGTATACATAAATTTTGTGTCACACTGACACTACTACTTGGTTTCAAATATTTTTGAGTCGCAACGTGTCAGAATCTTAGATATTGGTCGAATTTGAATCCATTTTTCTGCCAATTCAGTCAGCTGATAGAAAATTATATTACAGCACCCTTCTTGTTTAGCTAGTTAAAAACCGGTCCATCTATATCTTCTTACAACCCAAACTTCTAAAATCTTACCCAACATCCCTTAGACTTGATGAACAACTGAGGTGCAAATTGCTGGGATGTAAGTGTAGGGGTAAATTGTTGTTTGGATGAAAAAGTAAGAGTGCAAATAGAGTGAAAAGTAAGTAATTATATTATTTTAAAATAAATTTTAAAATTATAAAATATTATCACAAAATAATAAAATAAATATTATTATATAATAATAAATATACTTTAATATTTAATAAAAATAGTTATGATATAATAATGCTCAAATAATAATTAATTATAAAAATTGTAATACACATTGATCGAGCTATCTCAAAACTCGAAGCTCAACTCTTAACTGGTCATCCTATATAAGTTTTCGTGTCTAGGTTAATCTTAAATTGTCAAACTTAGTCAAACACGTTCGAATTTGTAAGTTTTAACTATTTTGTCAAATAAACTGAGTTAACCAAACAATTTCTCTCTATCTTTTCCACAAACACTTCGTATCTATAATTTGCAATGCAAATTCTAGTCAACCAAGAGATCTAGATCTTACTTGACGAACATTGATAAACTTGTTTCCGGAGTCAAATGGTCAACCCCGAATAATGTCTACATTAATGATATTTATAAAAAAAAAATTGATAATATTAATTATTATATAATTATATATAACACAATTAGAAAAACAAAATTCCATAATTTCCCCCTCTCCCTCTCTTCCTTCCTTCCCTTGCACCCCAATTTGGGGGGTAAGCCGAAATAGTAAATTTGCACTCTCGTTTTGCACTCCCTTCTGTTCTAAATTAACCAAACAGGTGCAAATGTGTTGGAAACTATGTTTACCCCTCATATTTGCACCCTCTTCCCATTTATCCCTCTTCCCAAACAGAGTGGCACATCAAATATACATAGAAAATCTCAGCACCCCACAAACAACTTTCAAACATATAAGCCCACGAACCTGTGACTCATTTGCTACTTTTAATCCTATCCTCTATATGTTCTACATGTCATCTTTCTCATTATGAATGCTGTTTAATAAGATCCCCCTGGAAATCTGCTTTGCAGGTGAGCAATGTGGTTGTTGGAGTCACAACGGATAAAAAATAAGGCAGCGTGGGAGGCGTTTGGAGATCGTTGCTTGTATCCATTTGGTTAGGAGTCCTGGTTTTTGGGGTTTGGGAGGGGGGGAGGAAGATGGGAATTGTGTGTATAATATTTCAATGGAGATTAAACAGAAAGAGAAAGAAGCTATAAAAGTACTTGAAACATAGGAAAAAAAGAAGCCCTAGGGAAGAGATTGCAAGAAGGAAAGCGTGGATGTACATTTTGGAGGAGATGACAAGAGGAACTTTGTGGGGGAAGGGGGAGCCTAGCCTTGCCCCTCTGTATGTTTGATTATATTACCCCAAACTGAGTTGCTACCACTACTGTACCATTCATGCATATTTTGTACTCTTCTCAACACCATGTTGAATCACCCTGATGCTGTAATCTTCCATATTTATTTGATTACATTTTTTTGTTATGTTTCACAGAAAATCTTCCATCTGTACAACTCTTATAAATGATTAGGACATTGTGTGTTTGGGTTCTCTGTTGTTTATTTATACGTTCCCTCTTTGTGCCTTGGATACAAGTGTGCGTTTTCTTGGTTATGGCTCGCGACCTGATGGAAGGATTTGTTCTGCGGAAAGAGAGCATATTGTACTCGAGAAAGAGAGTGAGCTGTAGAGTTGATCTCGTGGTAGTCTTTAGATGCAGAGAGGACTTAAGTTCCTGAATACGTAGAACTGCCTGGAAAAAAGAGCAGCAGCTTCAATTCTTTAGTGTTTCTCAGCAGGGAAAGGGACAAGGCAAAAGTTGAAGAGCTTTCCCAACCACCATGACCAGAAAGAGAGGAATTTAGTGTTTGTTCATCTGATGGCTCGACCACCCGACGAAACGTAATTCACAAGTAGAACAAAAGAAGCTGAAAGTGGTTCATAATTAGGATCGTCCCATTCCCTCATAGATTCCCAACTATAAATGATCAACCCCTTTCCTTTCAGTTTCAGACATCCCAAATAAATCAAACCCAGCAGTACTCCAATCCATCCATTCTATCTTCCATCTTCCATCTTTCTATCTGGGTTCTCTCACTCGATCTTTCGACGACATGGGTCGAGCAGAGGTCGTGCAGAAGCGCCAGAAGGCGGCTATCATGGCGCTAAGGGTGGCGGCTTTGCTGGCCACCGCAGCTGCAACCATTGTGATGGCACTTAACAAGGAAACCAGAACTTTCGTAGTTGGCACCGTGGGTACAACCCCTGTTACTGCCTCTGTCACGGCTAAGTTCCAACATACCCCTGCAAATGTGTAAGCAAGCAGCCTTTCATTATTTCATACCATCGCCTTAATCGGTTTTCACTGATGGAAACATTATGAAACTGAGAGTGATGATTCATCTGTGTGCAGGTTCTTTGTGATAGCCAACGCAATGGCGAGCAACCACAACTTGATGATGATTGGTTCCGACCTGTTCGGCCTTGAATTCAAAGGGTTCAAACTGCCCTTGGTAGCCGTTCTCGATATGGTACTTCACTAACATTTCCTATATAAATTATCTATTATACATCGTATTTCAAATATCGACTTAATTCATAAGATATGAGGTTGACACGATGTGTTCTTGAGTTCAACTTTCATAGTCAATCATTATGAGAAAAAAAAAAATTTTGATGACCTGTATAAGCTCGAGTCGCCCATTTCTCATAAATTTTTCGAGTATTTGAGTATTTATACAAATTGGATTAAACGTCAATGTATGTGCCAAATTAATGAAACAAGTAACACAATTTGGACACTTGATTTTGATTGATCGGTATGTAGTTAAACGCGGCACTGCTGTCAGCGGGGGTGCATGGGGCGGCTTTCATGGCGCAGCTGGCGAAGAACGGCAACTCGCACGCACGGTGGAACGAGATCTGCGACAACTTCCAAGGTTACTGCAACCGCGGCGGAGTAGCCATTCTTGCCGCCTACGTCGGGCTTCTCCTGCGCTCGGCATCACCATGGTGTCCATTGTGAAGCTCCTGAAGCCCAAGCCCAAGCCACAGTCCCAACCTCTGGCCTCTGAGATTCAAGTCCCATGATGCAGATTGAGTTTCTTATGCAGCCGCCGCTGACCATATGGGCTTCTTTCTTCTTCGGCCCAATTCTGTGTTAATGTCCTGTCAACCGCTGCAGATTGAGTTTCTTTCAAGTGTGTGTACAACAAAACCTTCCATTTGTCTCCTTTTTCTTTTTTTGTTGGTTGATCCATCTTGCTACGAGAGAGTAATGTTTTTTTTTTTTTTTTTACGGTATACGAGAGAGTAATGTTGTTGGCGGTGTTTTAGTTCAAACCGGAGTCTTTTACTATTGTGGTGGGTCAAAAGCAAAATTGGTCACATACGCTTGGAGTTGTTAACAAATTGATCACTTATATTTCATTTTTAACAAATTGAACATTTAAAATTTCACTAAGTAAACGGTAATTTAGTCAATCTACATTAACTTCTATGCCACATCACCAAAGAAGTCCATATGGCCAAATCTAAAAGCCGAACACAGTGAATTCAAACCCTCCTGGCCCAACTAATGGATTAGTAGTATCATATCTATTATCTACTTACTAATCTTTGAGAAATAATAACCGATATATCTTCTACACAATTTAGCAGATAGAAAGGATGATGGTATATATCGTGCAAATGAGGAATCCGAATCAAATGGATAGTGTCTCTTTATTAAGGTGAAATGAAATGAAATCATGAGGGTGACAACTCAACAAATCAATACAAGAATTCATGGATAGAAATCAACGTGGTAACATAACTGAGTCTTTGGCATAAAAAAACGCTTGTATGTCGAGTAAATGCTGATTCATATTACTGTTACTGTCCGCGCAGTAGCTAGTGCAAATCTGGGCCTACAAACTAAATGAAGAGTTATACCACTAACATTAATGCTTTGTTCTTCTACTTCATGGTATCTTATCGTGCACTCATAGTTGTTATGGTGACTTCATTGGTCGAACAACTTTCCGTGAAACTAGTGCTTGAGTTTTTCTCCACATCAATGCTCCTGGATCTCAATGCAGTAAATGCCGGTTGTTTAGGCATCGGTAATTGTACAACTTCACTTGTTAACATTGATACGACCTCCGACATTGTTGGCCTATCTTCCGCATTATATTCGATGCAAAGCAGCCCAACATTGATGCATCTCAGAATTCGATCCTTATCATATGAATCTCCCAAGGTTGGATCCGTTAGTTGCAATGGCGTGCCTTCTTTCCACAACTTCCATGCCTGATGATATAGACAAACCAAGTTATAAACATATAAAGTTTGCTTAATCTCCGTGAATTTGATTTCCACAAGAGACGTAAATATAAGCTTACATATCCCACGAGGTTGATAGGGGGATCCAACTGAATTACACCATGATTCTTCCGACCACTCACGATTTCCAATAGTAGGACCCCAAAGCTGAAGACATCAGATTTGATCGAAAAAGTTCCTTCCATGGCATACTCTGGAGACATATAACCACTGCACAAAAAAATTAATCACAGTTACTTACTTCGGGCAATAACATTAATTAGCAAGTAAGGGGAAAATGAACTTACTATGTGCCGACAACCCTATTTGTGTTAGCCTCTATGTCATTTGTTCTAAAAATGCGAGCCATTCCAAAATCTGAGATTTTGGGGTTCAAGTCTTCATCGAGTAATATGTTACTTGCTTTCATATCTCTGTGTATAATCCTAACTCTTGAGTATTTGTGAAGGTACAACAATCCTTGTGCTATTCCTTCGATGATAATGAATCGCTTGTTCCAATCTAGCACTTCCCTCTTTGATTCATCTGTTTCATTTATGTAATAAATTACCGAGTTAAATTCTCCAAAGTATCATTGGGCAAAAAGAAAATAAACCTCAATGACTAAAATAAAAAAGGTAGCTATGAATCATTTGTTATTCTCACCAAAGATGAAAGCATCCAAACTCTTATTCGGCATATACTCGTAAACTAGCATTTTCTCTTCCCCATGAATGCAACAACCAAGAAGTCTGACAAGATTTCTGTGTTGTAACTTGGCTATGAGTATAAGTTCATTTCTGAACTCCACGAGGCCCTGTCCTGAACTTCTCGATAGTCTCTTTACAGCTACCTCTCGTCCTTCCGGTAATTTTCCCTAAATTAATAGTACGTAGACAAAAGGGTCAATCCATCCATATGTCAGTAACTTGTATTGTTCTCTCTTTCAACAAATTTTTTTTAATTCTATACCAAGATAATCATTTTAGCTTGAGTGAAACAAAATACGGAGTAGCACCGATAGTTTACCTTGTATACCGGTCCAAAACCTCCTTGGCCAAGTTTGTTTTGCAAAGAGAAGTTATCCGTGGCGGTCATAATGGTTGTCACACTATAAATCTTCAAATTATGGCCATGGTCGCCACTACCATCTTCCATCTCGCCTATATAATTGGTTGCATCAGATGTCATCATCAACTCCGCTAGAAGCCTCTCTGCACACAACAATTAGCACAGTTTTGCACAATGAGGTTGGATTGTTGGATCAGGAATTGGCAGCAATCACTGTCTGTGATGCACTGATGTTGATGCTTATAGAAACAATGAAAAGAAAAGGCAAAGAAGCACTGACCTCTGCGTTTTCGCCTTCGCAAGTACCACAAGATACCGACGATCACAGTCGACAAAACCACTGCAACAGCAATCAAAGCCCAGATCCAATTCCTTTCCTCTGCATTGGGTTCCAGTCAGTAATATTGAAACAATGCTATTAAGATCGTCCATTACTTGCAGCTTAAATAAGCTAAGATTGACGGGCGAATGAGAGTGAGCAAGCAAGTGTTTGAATGACCGGCGCCGTACTTACTTGTCGCCGGGTGGGCAGCCGCCGTTGCGGCTCCGACGATGATATGATACTGAACAAAATTCGAATTGGGATCCTCGCTGAAATTTCCATACCAAAAAGTACAGCCAGTGCCATTACTACTGCCGATGTTCGTCCCAACGCACTGGCAGTCTCTCCAGCACAAATCCCTGCAATCGCTGATGCCAAGGCTCGCATTGTTATCCTCCCTCCTCGGCACCGTGTTCACGAACCCACCCCGCTGCAGCACGAACCGATCCCCATTCCGCCGCCGGCACTCCGGCCCCTGCCACCTGGCGCACCCGTTCTCCGTATTGTTCCCGTCGCACAGATCGGCGCTCACAATCACACGGCTAGTACTCCGGTCAACGACGACCCCGTCGTATCTCAACCGCCAGAAGGAGAAGTTCCTCTGACTCGGCGCGCTGAACATGTTTCTAGAGGCGGACAAGGTCAAGTAATCTTCGTCCGAATTGGAAACCCTAGAAACGTTGAAATCGACCGTCCCAGAATCCATGGCGAAGTTCTGGAACGCGTCCCTGCGCAATTGCCGGCCGCTGGTCCAGAAAACGACGCCGCGGCGGCGCACGACCAGCTGCTCACCGGCGGGGTCCCACTCCATTGTGAACGCGCCTGGAGCCGGGTCGGATTCGGCCAGCCAGGAGGTTAGGGTTCGATTCCGACCCGACCCGCGATCCACCACCCCCAATTTCATCCCCGGCAGCCACGAATCGGTTGGGGAATCGAAGCTCTGCCATAAGGCGGCTCCCGAAGTAGAGTCGGAGAGGGAGAAATTCCCGGTGTCTTCTAATACGGCGGGGGAAGAAGACGGGGATCTGGGGGAGTAGAGGTTGACGATGTCGCCGCCGGAGTAGTTGAGCTTTAGAGCTCCCGATGGGTCGAGGGCTAGAGCTCCGGTGTTGTCGGGGATTGGGGAGGCGCGATTGGCTACCCAGAAGAGAGCGGCGGTGTCGTTGTCGTACCAGATGCCGAGGTAGCTGAAGTTGGAGACGAGGCGCTGGAATCCCAGAGTGAAGTGGCCGTTTCTGGAGAGGAGAGTGGCGGAGGAATTGAGGGCGGGGCCGCCTTGGGTGAGGGTGTCGGCGGCGAGGGAATAGTTGTGGCGAAGGGATTGAACACAGAGCAGCAGAAGAAGTATGGGGAGGTTTAGAAGGTGGGGCTGGGGAGTAAAGATGGTTTTGGTTGCAGCAGCCATTACTGGTTCAGATTAGGAGGAGCATCAAGCTGACAGAGATGATTAATGGATTTTAATTAGCTTAAATGAAGATGGGGATAAGCTGAGAGGGAGGAGATGATTGACTGATCAAACAATCGAAGTGGGAAGGAAGGATACAACAGTTGGAAAAATTCAGAAATTGTTGCCAACTTGCCATGTGACCATATCTGCTCTGTTGTTGACCGGCGAGGGAAATTGAAAAGTCGCCGGCGTTGTTTTGACTTTTTCAAACGCGGTTTAGTAGATTGGATGGGTACTCCATAGTCCATACAGTATTTGTAAAATTTGTTATTTGGGACTAATTAGCACGCAAATCATTTTCGAGTAGAGGTTTCCGAGTGGAACTTTTAGGTAGAGATTTCTGTCTAATTTTTCTCTCTTGTTATTAATTAGAAAAAAAATCTATGCTATTTGGGTCTGGGGATAGATCGCCGGAATCGTCGGGAACAGGGGAGGAGCGATTGGCTACCCAGAAGAGAGCAGAGGCGTCGTTTGCGTACCAGATCCCAAGGAAGCTGCGGTTGGATTGAAGGCGCTGGAACCCCAAAGTGAAGAGGCCATTTCTGGAGAGGAGAGTGGAGGAGGAATTGAGAGCAAGGCCGCCTTGGGTGATCGTGTCGGCGGCCAGGGAGTAGTGGTAACTTAAGGATTGTAAACAGAGCAGGATAGTTGTGGCGGGAATAGTGAGAAGGTGGGGATTTTTGGAGGTTTCGGCTGCAGCAGCCATTATTAGTTCAGATTAGAAGGAGCATCAAGGTGAAGAAGACAGAATTTTTGGTAAGATTAAATGAAGGAGAAGATAAGTGGAGTGGAGATGGTTGACTGACTGATCGATCAAACAATCAGCAACAACATTCTTTTCCCTATAAACATGATTAATAACCACCTCCCATTCACGACTCAGGAGGTTTCCAATTTTTCCAACCAGAAAACCATGTGAATGGTTGCTAATTGCTATCCTTCCAGTTCTTGATAATGCTGATGGCAGTGGTGGAATCCAGATTGAGCTCGATCCTGCGAAACCCAAGCTTCCAAGCCCTCTCTAGACCCACAACAGCATCCTTCAACTCAGCACATGTAATCGAACAAGTTTCAAGGTTGCACGCGAAAGCATCATAGCATTGCCCCAGGCAGTCCCTGATCACGCCGCCTGCAGCCGCCATACCAGAGGCCCCCAAAACCGATCCATCCGCTTGAACTTGATACCATCCTACTCTTGGAGGCTTCCAGGCAAGCTCTTTCTCCACCTGATCTGAGCTTGTCGTCACCAGGCTCCTGATGGTATTTTCTTTTGCGTGTCGGTGGATTTAAGCCAAGCATTGGCTTTGCATATCAGACCCTCCTCAGAGTAATTCTTACCATCAAGAGCCTCCTCGTTCCTTTGTTTCCAGACCAGCCAACACAAGATGCCAAAATCAATTCCTGTGTCGACATCTTTAGTGTTCCTGTGGATCCATTGGTTGAAAGAAGTCCCATTGTTCCTGTCTTTGATCTTGCTATTGAAGTGTCTCCAAAATCCCTTTGTCTTCTTGCATTTCCTCAGAATGTGCTCCACCGTTTCCTCTTGGTTAGTGCAGTGGGTGCAGTTCCCATTTTGGGTCGTTTGTCGTTTCTTCCTCTCGACGTTGGTGAGAAGTATGTTGTGTGAGACAAGCCACAGAAAGAGCTTAACTCGGTTGGGACCATCCCATCTCCAGAGGTCTCTCCAGTGCTCCTCCTGCCTGCCTTCAGTCGTGCCCTCCACCAGCTCGGATGTCGATCAAAGCCTGAATCTTCCATCTTTTTCCACTCCCCATATTGTTATGTCCTCTCGTAGCTCCGGGTCTGGTGTCTCCAAACCTGCAATACGAATCAAAACCTCATTAGGCAGGAATTTCTTAAGTCTCTCCCAGTTCCACTCACCGTTCGTGTTAGTCCAATCCGCCACGCAAGAGAACTTCTCCTCCTCGGACAAGGGAACGACCGCAAAGTCCTCGAGGACAGTGTCCTGATCCAGCCACGGGTGAGTCCAGAATCCGGTCGACATCCCATCCCTAATGCTCCATGCCATTCCTCTACGCATCACTGGCATTGCCTTCAGGATAGCTCTCCAAAGATTGGAGTGATTACTGGTTTTCATAGCCGTAATAATTCCATCTTTGTGGTGGAAGTATTTGCCCTGTATCACCCGAACCCACAAGTCTTTTTCGTTATTCAGAACATGCCAAGCCAACTTTACCATGTAAGCAAGATTCAAGCTTTTAGCAGTTCGAGGACCAAGCCCACCTTGATTTTTGGGTCTACAAACTGTTTCCCAAGAAATCAAGTGGACTTTCCTTTTCCCCACTTGAGACCCCCACACGAACCACCTAATTTTCCTATCAATCGTGTCACACACAGAAGCAGGCAAAAGGGTGGTTTGCATAGCATACGAAGGGATGGCTTCCAAAACAGCCTTGGCGAGGGTGACTCGACCCGCAAGAGAGAGGATGCGAGCTTTCCAGGCCGTTAATTTGCTGTCCATCTTATCTAAGATATAACTGTAGGTGAGTTTAGTCATTCTGCCATGGATAACAGGTACACCTAGGTACTTTCCTAGGTCATTAGTAGATTGGATACCAAGCCTAGAACAAATATTAGCCCTAGTATGCATCTTAGTGTTCTTAGAGAAGAAAACACGAGACTTATCCTTACTAACTAGCTCTCCCGAGGCAACACAAAAAGCATTCAGGCAGGACAAGTTGCAGTCAGCTTGCTCAAAACTGGCCTCGACAAATAAAACCAGGTCGTCAGCGAAGAATAGGTGAGAAAGTGGAGGGCCACCAAAAGATAACATAACAGGCTTCCATTTTTTTATCCCTAACTTTTCTAACAATGATATGGCTCAATCTCTCAATGCAAAGGGTAAAGAGGTAAGGGGAGAGAGGACATCCCTGCCGGATTCCCCTGGTTGGGGAGAAAGGTTCGGTCTCTCCTCCGTTCCAAAGAACCTGCATCTCCACCGAGCTCACGCATTGCATGATGATGTTGACACATTGTGAAGGAATTCCAGCCAACGTCAAAGTTTCTTCGAGGAAAACCCAGTCAATACGGTCGTATGCTTTAGCAAGATCCACCTTAAGGAGCATGGTACCCTTCTTTCCACCTTTCCTAGCCATAGAATGGACCGTTTCCTGCAAAATAAGGATATTATCAGTAATATGCCTATTGTGGACGAAACTGGACTGGTTAGAGTGAAACCAAATGGGGCATCAGCGATTTAAACCCGTTGGCAATCGTTTTAGCCACCACTTTGTATCCCACATTGCACAAGCTAATGGGACGAAACTGGCTCATGGATGCAGGAGCCGCAAATTTAGGGATAAGAGCAAGCAGAGTTTGATTCAGGGATCTAATCTTGCTAGGTGTACTAAACAACTAGAGATAAAGAGGAAAAACTCCCTTCCAACGACATCCCAACACTTCTGAAAGAAGATAGCGTGAAAGCCGTCTTTCCCTGGCGCTTTGAGACCCTTCATATCCATGAGAGCTGCCTTGACTTCCTCAGCAGATGGGGGTTCTCCAAGCTTATCAGTCAACGATGGGGCCAGCTCTGGAAAGTCAGCAGGAAGGTTGGGATGTATATGAAATTTCACATACCAATACATTGGACATGTTTGTAAAATTTTACAAGTTTAGGAGCTAAATTGTAAAATAAAAAATTGGTCACCAAAATGTAATTTTATTTTTACCATCTAAATTTAGGAAATTATTTGTAAAAAAAATTAGGTACTAAATTGTAAGAAAATATATTTTTGAGTACCATAATGTAATTTATCAAAAAAATCAATGTGTTGATAAGTATCGACCTACTAACCCAATCTTTGCTGACCTGTCCCGACCCTAGAGGGTTAGACACGGTCAAGAAGAAAACAGGGTCGAATCGGATCAGTTATACATCTTCACTCTTCAATGGCGAGACAGATATGGTCAACACAGGGACAGGGGCGGGTAATTTTCATCCCTCTGACATGAAATATTTGGTAGGAAAATTCTGCAGTTTGATCATGTTTCCGGTTGGCGGTGGCGACATCAAGATTGTCACTTTGGCGTCAATTATTCAAAGTGTACTTTGCTTCCTTTCCTCCTACACTATACTCGACTCTGCCAGTATGTTCTTGGCCTGGTGCCGGACTACTGGGGGGCTTGGAAGAAAAACGATATTTTCAAACACGCATCGAAGTTGCATGAGCATTGACTCTCTCAACCCAAGCCTATTGGTTATTTGGTTGAGAGGGAAATGGTCCTTGGACCTGGGTTGTGCCTGGGCTTGGGCAAGTCCAACGTTGAGAATCGGAGCTCCATTGTCTTTCTTTCATGCTGTGAACGACGATGTGAAGAATTCCTGCTTGCCTTTTTTTTTGGACAACATGTGGCATCTTTATTCCAATTTGAACAAGGGGAAACATAGTTTGTTACAGCAGTGCAGAAACAAGATCAGCAATTATAACCCAATCTCTCGGAAGAAGGTCAAGTCTAGCATTATGTGCAACCCAATCGGCAAGCGAGTTGAGACGTCGGGGAACAAACTCCACCCTCACCCAGGGAGCCAAAAGGAGGATGAGGATGATACGAGCTAAGATAGCCCGACATTGCCACGGCCACAAGTCAGCATTCTGCCTCAACGCATTTACCAGAACCTGACAATCAGATTTGATAGGTGTAGGACAAGGATCCTGAGCCACCAGAATCACTGCATTCAACAAAGCATAAGCTTCTGCCTGTATCGGACTGGAACAAAGAAATCTCTCAACATTGCCGTCATACACCTGACCATGAGAATTAGCAATAGTAATCCCATAAGTCGCCACCTATGAATCATAAACAAAAGAGCCATCACAGTGCACAAACTTCAAGATTGTACCATGCGGTGGTGAGGGGTGTGAACGAGATCCCCTAGGTTGAGGAGGCTCCAAAGCTGACCGGTAAGAAGATGAAGCGCGGGAGCAACTTTTGGCTTCGACCAAGCTCAAGAAATCACGATCAGCCAAGGTAGCCGTAGTGGGCGGGGAAATAGCCCTCTGCTCAAAGATAAGACCATTCCGAGCAATCCAGATATTCCAAGGGCAACAAACGATCCTTTTAATAATCTCCTCCGAGCAACTCTCTTTCAGGTTAAAAAACCAATCTGCGAATAGCATGTTTGCAGTAGGAGGGCACGAAAGTCCTCCAAAGGATTCCCATGTGCTCACCGCATGATGGCAGTGGAAGAAAACATGCATGATTGTCTCATTAGGCTCCTCACAAATGGGGCAAGCAGAATCAAGAGCACACTTGCGAGAGAAAAGTCGAGCCCGGGTCGCAATAGCACTTTTGGCACACTTCCAAATGAAGAATCTAAGCTTTGGAGGAAGACCAAAGCCATTTCCAGTCTTGATTGTTCGGGTGAGCAGCTCCATTTCCTGCAAAAAAAAAAAGGAACATTGTCACGAGCTGCACGTAAAGATCAATAGGTTGATCTTTCACTGTATGCTCCTGTGGTGGTGAATTTCCAAAACCACTTGTCCTGAGCCGTGGATGGGCCGATTGGCACTCTCTTAATTGCAATAATAGTCTCCTCCGGAACAACAGCTCGGAGTGCATCCTCATTCCATGTGCGATAAGTAGGAGAGATCCAATCACAAACATGCTATGGTTCCAGATTTAGACTAGTGAGGGTGAAAGGTTGGGAAGAAGGTAGCCAAGGGTCACAATGGAAACTAGTCCCTT